TATATATTGGGACAGCGATATTTTAATGTTTTATTAAAAAAATAAAACGGCATCTATAGGATCTTGACATACACATATTTAACCCTGCCAAATTTAATAACCCAATTAAAATGTTTCTTTTTTTAACCAACCTTTTGTTGTGCGGTTTCTTGCATTGCAGAATTTGAAAGAACTCATTATCCAGATGTTTTCGCGCGGGAGAGACTAGCGGCGAAAATCGACCTGCCCGAAGCCAGAATACAAGTGAGTGATCGGAAAAACATTTTTTTAATTTTTTTTTTTTTTACGACTGATATGGAAACATTTTCCCCCACGAAAGGAAAACTAATAGGCAGCTTTGGTTCCAGGTATGGTTCTCAAACAGAAGAGCGAAGTGGAGGCGAGAGGAGAAGCTGCGGAACCAGCGCCGGCAGGCCAACAACTCCTCCAGTCACATTCCCATCAGCAGCAGCTTCAGCACCAGCGTGTACCAGGCCATCCCACAGCCCACCACGCCGGGTAGGGCCCCTGAAATACTTCCACTATTTTGAGAGAGCGTGTGTCAACTATTGTGCTGCATGCATTAATGGTCACATTGCGCTATTGCTACATAAAATATGTGAAAGCCTGCGGATTGATTAAAAAGTGGGGAAAAGGCTGTGCGCTCTGGTGCACTTTACCGGTGGTTTCCTCTTGATGGGTGATTGAGCAAAATGTGTCAGCTGACTTACATCGACGTCATCCCCGAATCAGGCACGAGGGCACACAGCTGAAGCGCATGCTCACAAGTCACCTGAGAAACGCGCCGTGTCCGGGACCAGAAGGCGTCATCTCACGCACACACTACTTTTTGTTAATGTTTTTAAAAAATATATATTTTTACTTTCATTCACAGTGTCTTTCACCTCGGGGTCAATGCTGGGTAGACCTGACTCTGCTCTGGCAAACACCTACAGTGCGCTGCCCCCCATGCCCAGCTTCACCATGGCAAACAATCTACCTATGCAAGTAAGTAAAAGACCATAATGCTCTATAGTCAGTCACGTTTTAAGATGTGATATGTGATACATTATGATAATTGATGCGATTGTAAGAGTGGAATCCAACACACCATGAGTAATTTAAACTGTGTTTCCTGGCCAAACAACAACAACAACAACAAAAACTTAAAGGACAGCTGTGTTAGGAAACCAAAAAGTATTACCATTAATAAATTAAATCAAGCCACATCCGACTTGCAGTACTACAGACAACTATGGTTGGCTAAGCTAATGTAACATTCTCTCCCCCCATCTATAGCCCAGCCAGACCTCCTCTTATTCCTGCATGCTGCCTACCAGTCCGCCTGTGAACGGGCGGAGCTACGACACATACACGCCCCCTCATATGCAGGCACATATGAACAGCCAATCAATGACCACTTCTGGTACCACCTCAACAGGTAGGCAGACAGTTCATTGTTTACCAATTCTCTTTGAAACATCTGCCACCTTTCCTGTAAATAAGGGGGGTGCTAAAGCCGTCTTTGATTCATGATCTGTTCCAGCAACTTTCCCTTTCCTTTCTGTTTATTTGAGAAACGTCATGGTTTAACCTGATCCATATCTCTACATTTTCCATATCGTTTTCTTTCTGCAGTTGCATGAAGCTCATTTCAGGGCTGCTCTACGCCACCATGTCAATGCCACTACTCCAGCCCATTTAGTTCCACCCCATTAGGATGCTTTTACAGAGAGCCATATATACTGGTTATAGTCATGAAGAGTTAATCATGCATAACCACATTTCCTCTGTGCTAAATTGCTAATTCATTTAATTCATTTGCTGTTTTACTCTGGCTGTTTGAATGCCATTGCTAAAGCCTCAATTGATTGAGCGTGTGAGTCCTTTACTGTGCAACCATGTGCAGAGCATTGTAACTCACTGCTACCCATTTGCAAGGATTACAGCACCGGGCTCTGTGCTGTGAGCCTTACAAGTGTTACTATCTGTGCGTGGTGCATCAACCTGTCAAATTTAGCATTTTTTGATTTTTTTCTTTTTTTTTGTCTTTGCAGGACTCATCTCTCCTGGAGTGTCTGTCCCTGTCCAAGTCCCAGGGAGCGAGCCTGACATGTCTCAGTACTGGTCAAGACTACAGTAGAGAGAAGAGCTACTTCACCCTGTAACCACCCACTCCACCATCGCCCTGCGGCAGTGCTCCTCACACATACACGGCACAGAAGAAGAGTAAAGAAGGGCGAGGGATGGTTGTGAAGAGGCAAAGGACAGGAGAGGATAAGAGGAATGAAAGAGAGAGACTCTGGGAGAACCTTGGGACGTCTGGGCTCTGTTTCCAGTGGGACTGTGTGCTGTTCTGTAGCTCTAGGCACATTCTAACGAGGACCTGGAAGGGAGAACAAGGATGGAAAGTCGCGAAAAAAATGGACCTCTGTAAAGTGCCCGGTGTTAAATTTTTATGGAACAAAAACTTATCTGTTCTTTTCTATTTCCAACTTCAGTCATTGTTTCCTTTTTTCTCTGGTGTGTTAGTAAATGGCCATTTGTATGTTAATATGAAAAACCAAGATCAAGTACTGATAGATGGACTGCTAGAAAACCATGTTGGTCTTGCGTTTGTTTGAGAGAGAAGAACCTGAGAGATTCTGCCATGACTATCTTTTGATCTGCTTATATCGAGACTTTCTACCAGCCTTTGCATGGTCTCTGGACGCTGTTGCATATCATTAAAGACTAAAAGCTGGAGGGAAGACTCTTACTGTGTCAAAAAAAATAATATTTATTGGTCTTATTTCGTACGAACGGATATTTAGCAGAAGAAACCCAAACTCGATCCACCCACTGAGGCTGTGGTCTTGACTCCTCGGACGTTGTCCTGCGTTTCCCGGCTTATTAAACACGGATCACTATCAACGGCTCAGTGTGCAAAGACGACGTGACGAGCGGCACAACTTGGACCTCTTGCTTTGGTGGTTGGATTGACTCTAGATTACCACGAAGAACATTAAATGTGGGAAAAGCAGGTGTAAAGGAAAACCTGTAGTCTGTAAATGGTAGACTGCGTCTTCGATATAATCCAGTTTGTTTATGTCAAAATGTAAAGTACTTGTCTTCCCTAGAAATCTTCCAGAAAGATTTCTCCAATAAAAGTTGATTTTCATTTATATCCCCGAGAATATTCTATAAATGTTCCATGCATCATGAAATACATTTCTTTAGGGTCAGGTACAATTTGTCTCTTAGGTATAGTTGTATTATAGTGTCCTATGGTCAAAAAACATGTGCTACTAGAAATATTTAATTCCTATAATTATGATTAAACATTGCTTGACAGAGTTTTAAACTTAAGTGTTTGGCAGTGGTTTACAAGTACATATCAGATTTAATCATTGTTGATTGTAAAACAGACCAAAGCCTTTGTATTTCATCTAGTACACAATGCTTTTTTAAAAAGATATTAGTCTTGTGTTGCAGAATTTTGGAAACACGTTCAGTTCAATTACATTGGCTTCGAGTTCGTAAGACTGCAGTTAAACCCCGCAGTCCTTATTTATAATTGAAGACCATGGGAGGGTTTTTCTAGCATCATCTGTCATGCTCTTTTGAGTTTCGCATTTTTATTTCAAACTGGACGTGGAACACGGACACTCTGGGTTTACGTCTGAGCAATGCTTCTGAGATAAAACGTCTACACACTGTCTCTTAAATATTTCAATTTAATTTTATTTAAAATGGAGCTTTCTAAATGTATTTTGTGAAAACTATAAAACATTTTGTACAGTAAAATTGTGTCTTAAAAGAAAAACCTTTTTGCCTGTTCAATGCTGCCTGGTAGAGTCAAACATTTTGACATTGTGCATCATTGCTGCATATTCAAACTAATGTAAATGCTGACAAAGCATTTGTTTCAAGAGCACAACACCTCCAATTCCAACCAAACAAAGGTGTCCAAAATAACAAACCTCTCTTGATGTCGGGGCCGAACCAAGTCGACACAGACCACACAGCACAACGCCGCTGCACAATAAGAAAGGTCAAGCAATTCACCATCACTGGCTCTTGTTAAAGAGTTACGATGGTATGAAAAAAAAATACAGAGCCAATGAAAAGGAGGCAGCAGGGAAGAGAGAGAGAGAGAGAGAGAGAGAGAGAGAGAGAGAGAGAGAGAGAGAGAGAGAGAGGGGGTCAGGGAATAAAGCAGTCAGTGCCTTGAGCGGGGCAAAGGAGCGATTGTGTGGCAGAGTGAGTTATTTTGCTTCACTTGCTGCCTCAGCGGGGAGGGGTATTTAAGGGTGTGTGTTGGTGTGTGTGAGAGAGAGAGAGGGCATCTTAAAGGAAGGGATGTCCAGGAGAGAGTGAGGTCAGGTAACATTCACACAACAATTAACAGCAGCACCTATGTTGCTAAACTGATTTTTAAAGATTTTCTTTGTCACATGGCTTCGCCATGTCTGTGCACAAAGGTGTTTTGAGAGCGCAGGAAGGGACAGAGAGAACAGGCAGAATCGGCGCACATTAATTATTACACAGAAAGAGTGAACGGGAGATTCAAAATGCAAGAAAGGCTGCAATTAGTGGAAGTCTAAATAATACACAGTCTCGGGATAAAAAGGTTTAATGTAATTCTCCCTCGGAAACAAGTTAAACATTATAAGTTTCTGGAAATGTTCCAGAGAACTTTTTGCTGTGTGATCTATTTTTTTTAATGAGACAACAATTCTGAGATGGAAATCTGAATTCCCACAGCAGCGGAGGGAGGCTAACACTCTGCTTAGCTCTGTGTGTGAGTGTGTGCGCTTTATACAAACGTGAATGGAGAATTCTCTCACCGTTGTTAATACAATACATAATAGTCCAGCTTTGTTTCTTTTGTATTTGACAGATATGCTAACCTCATTTGCAAAGAAGTGTGTGCTTTATTAAACCAAAATTGGCAGAGAGATATGGAGTGTGGTGAGAATGAACCGTGTACTTGGATAGAGCTGCAACGTGATGGCCATTAATAATACGACACATACGGCCTCAGCTAAAGCTGCTGTACAAAAACAACTGGCTTTATTAAGGAATTGATGCAACGTGAGCAGAAGCTGCCAAAAGACAAAGTGATAAAAGAACATTCTGTACACTCGGTGCCAGAGCTCCCCGTCTCTGCTTTAGGCCCAGCGAGGCTGTAAAAACACGGGGTTCTGTTAAACAAGTGTACACCTTAAATGCTATTGTTGCACAATACATTAAGGTCAATGCAAAAAATAAAAAATAAAACAACTTTTTCCATTTTTCTTTCCTCCAAGGTGAGATACTTTAGGATTTGTTATAAAACACATCACACAATAACATGGTATCAACCATTATTAAGATTCAAACAAAACAGGGCGTCTACAGAGACTCAAATACATCGTTCATCACAAAAATCAAACAGGAGAGAATAGATTCTCCATCTGATTGTAACGCTCCAGTTATGGTGTTATGGTTTAAATTAATTTAGATATCCCGGTACCCATAATTCCTTGTTTATGCTCTTTACAGAAGTGTGCTAATCATCAGTCAGATCATTGACCAACCAAATACAACCAACATTATCAGAGGGCAGAACACTATCAAGGTTCAATGTTCTCTGAAGACAGCATTGGTCAAAAGTCAGGACTCAGAAAACTATCAACTCTTAAATTCTAAAAGTAGATAAAAATGTGAGAACCCGGATATCTTCCAATGTGCATACAAGATATTTACTACTTATAAAACTTTGCAGATTGTTTTACAACTTAGAAAATACTGCACTTTGAACTGAGTGTCTCAGCTCCATGGTGACACGCAGACATGGCAGGTGGGAAAGAAAGAGTATCCGTAATATGTCAGCTCATCCACAACAATAACTTCCCTTTTTTTTTATCTGGACTACTCAAGCTTTTGTTCACTATAAGTGACCATTGTACGTCTCCTCACTCTCTCATACACCCGATGTAAGAGCACTCCATTCATGCATGAAACTGTCAGGTGACACTACCCTCTTCCAACACGTGTTTCAGATGCTTACCAGTATTGCCAGTTCTCAAAGGCAACATTATTCAAACTGGCATGAGCAGCAGACTGAGGAAAACCAAAATCAAACATTTAATTTTTCATTGTGTTTTTTTTTCTTTCTCCCTCTGTTTCTCCGTGTCACTATTTGACCTAATTTGTTCTTTTGGACTTGTCATGGCAAAGCAGCTCATCCAGCAAACACGCCTGATGAGGTGTGAAGCCTGCACCCAAATCCAGCTCTTCCACTCCCTGCCGCCAATGCTGCTCATCTCTCAGGCTTACAGGAGGTAGACGTCACTCACCGGCAGAGTCTCAGGGTCAGATGGAAGCATCCTTATTCAGACCTGAACCCAGCGAGGCCAACCAGAGGTTCATAACACACTCACTTTAGATCCTATCACAGGTAGTCGACTTTCCTTTCAGAGCCGGTGTTGAAACACAATGAAGTAAAAAAAAGAAAAAAAAAAAAAAGAAAAAAAGAAAAAAAGAAAAGAGCTTGAATTAAGAGCATAGTTGTGCATTATATATTTGCTTTAATTTAACTGAACAAAAAAATGATATATGTTCACGGAGGAGCTAGTCAGGAGCGGCCACTTTTGTTTGTACAGTACGCTCGAAGCGAGGGAGAATGCAGTTAAATTATTTAATGTTTGCCAAGAGTAAGGGGTCTGTGTAGACTAAAAAATATTTCATGATGACACTTTGCTTGTCAGGGAAATCCCCAGAGACAGAGAACAACAAGAAACAAACTAAATGTACCAGATCTTAAAGGGGCTCAATAAGGAATTGTATCGCCTCCACAGGCAGTGAAGGGGGCGGCGATCAGCTGGACAGAGGAGTCCAACAAATACAGAGGGAGTGTCACTTTGTTCACTACTCCACCATATATTTACATTGTACATTAGTTAATTGCTGCTATATTAATTCTCTGAAATAACCTTTAAACAATCCCTCCGCCTTGGGTTTGGGTTAAGTACGAATCACCCTGCCGATCACACGTCACACACACGTCTTCATGTAACAATTTGAAAATACTACGGGGTTCACATTTCTGCGTGGAAAAACAGCAAACTGTATTCAGCTTTGGCAAGTTAAGTTAGTCAAATGAACTTCGTATGAGCAGGATGGCACGTGTAAAAGTCAACTTGTGAGTGTACTGTATGTTTATACAAAAAGAAAAGTTGAAATATAGTTGATGTTTCGATCGTTGACCCTGGCTGGGAGAGTTGGCAGGTAGTAATGGCTTGCAGGGCTTCTGAAGGTCGACATTATGTGGGCGAAGGAACAACCTGGTCGCCATGGTAAAGAGGACAACGCTGAGGCATTGCAGGTGTTGGTTGCCCTCGGCAACTGTGTGGGAGCACTAGAAGTCCAGGTGTTTGTTGCCGGAACCGCCGGAGCCGCAGGCTGAAGCCACCGCGGCCGCTCCTGCCAGCTCCCCCCTGCTCACACGACTCACCGTCTCAGACAAGTCTGGAGGCAAATGCAGTCTCTATAGAAGTCAGAGCGAGAGAGAGAGGGAGAGAGAGAGGGGGAGAGGGAGAGAGGGGGGGTGGGGGGGGGGGTGTATTAGAAGGAAGCACTACAGTGGATCAACGTACAGTAGATGGTACACTTCAGTGATGTTTATTCACGGTGAGCCATGTTGGGTTGAAATTGCATTAGATGCTTCAGCACTCAGCACTGGCATCGAGGAGTACACCTGCTAGCATGCTGCTAAATGCTTCACGGAGCTTTAGGTCCGTTGCAGCTCACGGGGAACAAGTCTTGTGTGCGAGTGTGTGAGGTAGGGGTGCTTTTGAGAAGTTGTGTAGGACACAACGGCATGCATTAATGAGGGGAGCTGTGTTCGGGCGCAGACGTGCATCTCGATGTCTTTGCACTTGCGTAGATTTGCTGTGCAACACAGATGATCATGTCCAGCTAATGCCAGAGTCACTAGGCTCAAGTCTTTTAGCTGTTTCATAGTAAAGCTCATCTATGAGCAGCCAACTCGAAGCACAAAGACGCTAAGAGGTTAATGAGGGCCACTCGTGTAAAGCCCCCTAACACCAACACGCTAACTACTATAAACCTTTAGTCGAGCTACAGTGCTCTGCTCTCTCAAGGCCCCCAATGGCACTCCATGAACAAAGTCCTGAAGAGGTGCTGAGAGCGTGAGACGAGGTGAAGTATCTCCTGAGTCGAGTGCGCGCCCAACAATGGTTTTGAGTAGCATGTTGCTCAAGTGTCTATCGAGGAGGTTAAATCGGAATACAGGCATCCTGGGTACACGGGAAGTTAAACCCTGTAATTTGCCCCTGAAAGAATCTGCCATGACATCTGACACCCGCTGGTCAAAGCCTGCGCTCCCACCCCACCCCAGCCCTCTAAACCTCCCCGCCTGCCACGTCATCCCCCCCTCAAGACATGCAGCTTTAGGAGCGCCCTTCCACTCCCGCAGATACTTATCTTTTTCCTAATGACTAGGTGTTTGGGTACAGGGTTTAACAGCGTCATTACTAAGAGCTAATTCAGGACTATGCAACACTCTCTACCCCTCAAGGGTACACTACTTCCTCCCTTGGATTATTACCGTTTCTTTAGGCGCATTCAATGGTCTCAGTCTGTTTTTACATCACTGATGTTCGTCTGATATGACGTTCTGCGCTAAGGGGTCAGAGGTGCATCACGTGGTCTCCTCGCTGTTCAATGCATTGCTTTCGTGTGTGTGTGTGTGTGTGTGTGTGTGTGTGTCAGAAGACCGTTTGTAAAGCAAGAAGCAGAAAGCAGAGAAGTCTTCACGAAGCCTCGGGCAGGTGAGCCCTGAGACACCGTGAAAGACCTATAATTTAATGTAAGATGATAAAGGTAAGGTTACACAGGACTTACAGAGGCACAGATGGAAAATACTGCTGCGAGAAAAAGAGGAGATACATAATGAGCATAAACTAAATTATTTGACACCACAAGAAGAATGATCAGTTGGTAAAAGGCACACGATGAATTAGCCAAACCTTTAAGTCTGTATTAGTCTCTGTCTCCCTCCCTCTCTCTCTTCATCTCACATACACACACACACAAATCCATGCAAACTCATTTAATGGCCTTCAGGGGCCCCCTAGAAGCTCCAACTTCCACCCCTGCCAAACCTCACCTGTGTAACCTTTCGTGTCTTCAGCTCACTCAAGTGTGATTTAAATAGAAAAACAATGCATTGATCAAGCCTGGACTCAGTACTGCTTAGTGCACCGCAGCGGAAACACGGCAGAGAGAGAAAAATCAATCACATATACATCACCCTCAGTGGGTGAGTGGAAAAAAAAAAGACATCACACCGTTGTCTTGCTGTCAAGCACCCATGGGCCTGGCTACGCCGTGTCTGTTTGGCTCTGAGCTCCGTGAATCCACTGAGCATGTGCAGAGCGAAGGTCAAAGCAATCCAGAAGTGCGGCACAGCTACTCTAACCTTTGAGTTCAGGGGCAGATGAGAACAATCAATGCGGACATCAAAGTTGGAGGGAGGAGCAGACAAAACCAATCGATCGGTTTGAAACGCGGAGAGAAAAGGGAGGCTAGTAACAGTTAGAAAACATCCTGCACATCAGTGAGGGACAATGCTAGAGCGGATAACTGTTATTTAATTATCAGGGATACAAAAACTTTCTTTGTATTCAGTTTGGCAATCCAAACAAACTACTTGTAACTGTCCATGCAAGTTAACTTTTTGAAAGATCAATCAAATAGTAAAGTATTTTAACGAATAAAAATGTTTGCCCAAATATGTGAGGCCGGCGAACTAAGTGGTTGCCATGGACACCTGCGTTGATATCAAATGAATGGAGGTCAGCGTAGGACTTAGACAGACATAACCAGGAAGACTCGGAGTCTGCTACCCCACGACCAGCACACTCCATGATGTAAACAAGGACATCCGGAAAACCCTCAGAGGCATAGTGGGGTGTGTGTGTGTGTGTGAAGTCTTTCTCTGCTGCCTGGCAACCTTCACCAGGGTGAAAAAAAAGAAGAAAAAAAAAAACAAGACGGGGGGGCGTCGGATGGGAGTCGACGGCGGGAAAATAGACCATTGGCTGTGGTGCATTGGCGGAGTTGGGGGGGGTTGTCCTAAAAGAAAATGGATGTGTGCCACGGCGTTGGTGCGAGTGTGTGTTAGAAATGTGATGTTAGTGTTTCCCTCCCTAGTGGCAGGCAGGGGTGAAGGTCTGCGGTTCGGCTGTGCTCTGCGGCCAGAGGGGCCGGGGCCATGCTGGCAACAGGGTGAGGGGTGACAAATCTCCAAACGAGCGCTAAGCACTTGAAATGAGCCCTAAGGGCCGGCCCACGGAGTAGCTTTGCCTAAGAGGGTTACTCATATCAGCCGACAATGGACAATTCCCATCCGCTTACTAAAAACCACCAAAGACCCGATTAAGGAATATGGCGCTACGTGCTACTTGCAGCCAGCTGCTCACAAATCTCCACATACAGTTCCCACGTTCACTTTTTAATGTACATTTGAATTTTGAGTGTAACAAAGTTATGTAAGTGCGGACCAACATTTCCAACTGGAGCTTAAACAGGACCAACTCACATCAAAGGCATTCCACTGGTGGTAACGGCTTGCTAATGACTTGAGTAGTAGGTGCTAATTTAACGAGTCATTTCATCCATAGTTTAAGCCACACTTTCAAATGGCCCGTGTCAGTGTACAGCTTAAAACTATGGGAAACCTAACACCTTGGTGGAACGCATGACGACCGGCCGGGCTGTTGCGATCAGATTAGCCGATGTTGGAACATGCTCGGGGAAGTGACACGATATTTACCATAAACACCTACTTAGCGCAATCACTGCTGTAACTTGGTCCTATTTGTCGTAAACTCTATCAAGTCAGCGAAATGAGGAAACAGAAGATTGCATCATTAAGCTGATGTCATAACAATCACAAAGGAAATCTTGGCAAAGCAATCTGGATTTCTGCTAAGATCGCATGAATAGGAACGTCTTGTTATCGTATTGATACAGAAAACCATTATTTTTATGCAGCTTGAATGGATTTATACACCACAAGTCTAGTATTCATGGACAGTGGTCACATTAGAGGTGATACCTTTTGCCAACCCAATTTCCCTGAGCAGCTGCAGTGCATCCACTGAAAAACAAATGTGTACGTCTGTCCATGACAATCTACAACCAGCCAACGGTCAAAATGGTGGCAGAACAAAATAGGTAGAACTTTCCCAGACATGCTGCTCTATCCAGTCACTAAACCAAGCTAAATCACCTCCCAGTGGCGTAATCCCCTGCACCTCTAAAGTTACACTTCATTGTGTGGGAAATCATTTGCTGATGCTATGGGACAGCTCCTATAGGTTTCTACCTTCAGCGCACCAAAACCCACATAATGAAGTTATATCCGCTTCTATTGGGGAAGGAAGCGATCGTCACATTTACGCTGTACATTTCACAGAAAACGTCCGGTACCGTTCCATCAAAAAGCAGAAACAACCCAGCATAAATCCCGCCACTGGTAATTCTAGCCCACCTGCGCCCAACAAAAGCTGGAAAGAAGCTCTTCCTTCCTCTTCTTTTGTTGTAACAAAGAGTGCAACTCGATCCCTGACCTTGCCCTAAGAATAACCTGTTGACTAGGGACGTTTTTATCGCTTAGACTTTGTCTTCATCATTTGTTTACCGGATTTCTTTTATCATACATAATATTCTTTGGTCAGTTTAATATCCATACTCTATTTATTTTTTTGTCACGGTATTTAAAATGTTCTCCCTGCAGCATTACAAGCTACTATTAGTAGTGCAAACTTCTGAACAAGGAATTTAAACATTAAAAAAATGAAGCCTCAGTTGAATTAGTCAAATCTGATATTTAACATGACATACGAGGTAGGGCATATTTTCAGACTTTATCGGTGCTCTTGACGTGACACTAATGTAAACGAAAACATTTAGCGAGTAAAAGCAGCGTAAATAAATAGAGTGCCAGGAGAAGAAGGAAAGAAATGTAAAACCACACTCAAGCTCATCTCGAGTTTCGTTTTGGTAATTGGGCGGCGGTCACCTGCTCGCCGTGTCACCTGCTGCCTAATCCCGGATAATCTGAGAGGCAGGAATACAGACAGTCAGGCGGACTGACAGATAGACAGATACAGACAGAGGCCCCTCATCTCTTCGGCTTCATGGCTAATGCATCTGACAGAGTAGGCAGCACCGGGCAGAAGGATGAGTAAGCATTTTGAGTGTAATTATAATGGGAGAATGGAGTAAGGGACTAATAACCGACTGAATTTCATTAAAAGTGAGCGTGCCCCAGCAGAAAATTCATTAGCTGACAATATTCCAAGGTTTTGTAATAGCTAATGGAATGTTTATTCCTGTTCTCTTTGCTCCTGACTTACCCTTCACGCTCCACGGGCTGATGTAAAGCGGCCTTTGATAGTATCTGTCATGTTACTACACATGACATGCTTTGGAATCAGTGAGCTCTGCGGTGCCTCT